GGATTGAAAATCTGGTGGTGAAGAGCGGCCAGTCCTGGCCTGTGGGTCCTGTGACAGGTATCCCTGCCCCCCTCAATGAGATGAGCACTCACCTTTACATCAGAGGGGAGAAGGGGGTGTGTGTGTGTTTATAGTGAGAGATAGCTTTCCAAATCTGAGGCGCAGTTTACAAGATAAATGGTCCTCAAATTACTGTCCATTGAATTTCAGTAAAATCAACCCCACTTTGCACATAGGGAGTGCTTTCTTTGAAGGAGGCCCGGCTGGTGATGACAGCTGCTGCTTTTTGAGTCTGTGGCTACGCCCTCCCCCGCACCCCCAAATGGGGGGCTAGCACTCAGCCTCCTAGTCAGGCCTCTGAGGGTTTTACTCTTGCCCAGGCACCTTGCTCAAGGTCACGGCTGGTGACCAGCTTGGCTGGGATTTGGACACTAGTCTGACCGGAATCCTGAGCCCTTAGCCATACCCTGCCATGGTATAAATACCACCTGTGGGGCTTCTATCCACCGAGCTGGGGGCGTGTTCCTATCCTCGGTCCCCTTGCATCCCCACGGCCATCTCAAGCAAGGCAGACAGACCTGGCCATTCCCATTTGACAGCTGGGGAAACAGGTTCCTGGAGGTGGGTAGACAGGAGCCCCCCGAGGCTCACGGCAAGGGGTGGCCAAGCTGGCCTAGGACACTGCTTCCGCCTCTCTGTCCTGTGCTTCACTCTGATTTGTAACTTCTCAGGAGGATAGTGAGGGTCTGGCCCGCTTTGTCTTGCTGCTTTTCTCTGCCTTTGCTACCTAGCTCCCTCTCCCCTCACCTCCCTGGAACCCCCCCACTCTGATTGGACCCATCTTTCCTTCTCCCTCACTCGCCCCATTCAGCCAGCCTGCCCCTCTCCTTTGCCTGGAGCAGGCTTACCCTGTACCTTGGGCTCCCCCGCAGATGCCAGCTCCTCAGGGAGGTCTTCCGGACCACTGACCTCAGATGGCAGTTCTTGGCACTCTGTCCCCTGTTGCTTAATGTCTGTCATTGACCCCCACCTATTTCATACTAGCTTGATTTTTAAAGACGTGCCCTCTGCTCTAGACTGGAAGCTCCCTGAAGGCAGGGGTTTGTCTATTGATCATTTACCATAATCCATCTCTTGGCTTATATTTAATGGCCCTCGAAAAAGGACCCCTTAGGAGTGGGAAGGCTTTGGTAAGGCGTGGTCATCCCTGAGCTGTGTCCTGAAGTTCTTCCCACTCCAAGATGAGCCCCAGGAAATTTGGGGGGGTAAAATGCTGCCGACGGATCCATGAGCACCCATATGTGTCCAGCTGGCGTGGCCTCTTTCTTCCCCGTCACCCCCTCACAAGGATGCTTTATAAATGTATTAGTGGCTGAATGATGTCATCGTAATGCATTTTGGGAATGGCCATGTGGTTTATACACACTTCAGTTGCTTTGAATGCAAACCTGACATCATACTGAAGGCAGCAGCAAACATGTGCACAGTAAACAGGCAGAGACTGTCTTATTGATTAACAGATGAGGCCTCTATTATCGATCACAGCTTGGCGAGGAAATTTATCACTTTTAATTTCAGGGCTGCCAAATATTTCTGCCTCTGAGCCAGCCATTACAGAGGCAATTTAAAGGCGCACACATCCTTGGAAGAGGGGGTTTCTGCTGCTGTCTGCTCCGCTCCTGTGTCCTGGAATGGGCTGGTTTTGCAGTGGCGCCCCCCTGGTAGGCTGGGGGAGTCTGGGTAGGGCTGGAGGGGTCCTGGACCTGACTCTGTGAGCGGATGCCTGTAGTGTTTGTGTGCGATGGGGGTCCTAACCCAGAGTCGCTGAAGACGAAGGACTTTGACACCCTCAGCTCGATTCTGTGACTTTGGCAGAGCGGCTACTGAGGGGGCGGGCTCTGAGGACAGCCAGATGTGGTCAGATTGGGTCCCGCTGGCCACCCAGACCAGATGGTGTGTGCTCGTCCGCTTTATCTTCATCCGAACCTGTCTGCTAGCACACATCCGGCCCTTTATTTCCTACCTGCCCTCCTTCCTTTCCCTCCACTGCTCAGTCATTAAAGTGAGCCGCTGTTGCAGCCCCATTGATGGCTGTTTTCTAAGAACCCTTGGACCACATCCCTTTGAAGCTGCGCGCAACCTGATGGTGAGCCCACTGGGTGTTTCCCCTGCCCCCCAGCCCTCAGAACTCCCCTTCTCCTTCTTTAGGGAGCCCTGAGAACTGATAGAACCAAAGAAATACAATGATAATCAGATCCCTTGCAGATCTGCAGAAAATCATTGCTGGCTAATGATTTGGGTCTGGGGGGAATTTCAGCTTCATCCACCCCCAGTCCAGTCTCCTCTCTCCCACCCCGCTGCTCTTTGTGGTATTGCTGCATTTGCACTGTAAACGGATGGACGGTGGTCTTGGCCGCCACTTGTGTGAGCATGGCTGTGTCCCTGCCACTGCTGGGACATCAGGTTGTTCAGCTCTGTCTTGGAAGCTCTGGAAATCATCTCCAGGTCCCTGAGGATAACTTGTAGCTTGAAGGGACACCCAGAGGGAATCCTTGTGTTCGTCCTACCTGCAGGCAAAATCCAACTCCAGCCACTTATGACAAATGACAACATTTATTTTGAAAGCTCTCAAGGAAAAAAAAAATTTCATATCTATCCTGGGGCACTGTATCACTCATTTATTCACTCAGTCAACTGATACTTACTGAGTCCCAACTAGAGGGCCTATTCTACCGGACTTTAGGAAAATAGCCAGGGGCGAGGCTCCTACAGTCCTGGCATTCAGAAGCTTCTCTAGATCCTTGTAGTCTTCGTTGGCAAGAACTGCTTCTTAAGATTTAAAGCTGTGCTGACACAGCTTGTATTCTGAGTTCTGTTCCTTAAGTATGTGCTAATAGTCTAAGGCAGAGATTTTTAAACTTTTGAAACAAGTAGAGGAATCCTTTTTTCCAAGTAGAATTTTATATACAATCTATAATGTATGAAACTGATCAATTGTATTTTCATTTTTTTGTTGTTAGGGAAGGAATCCCAGACTCCACCTGCTTAGCCTTAAATTATCTTTGCAGGCCAAGCCCTGATAGGTAGAGGGATTAAGAGCAAAGACTCTGAAGTCAGGCTGCCTAGGTTTGAAATCACCTCTCCCACGACTCACTGTGTGACACTGGGCAAGTGCCTTAACTTCTCTGAACTTGAGCTGTTCATCTGCTAACTGAGGGTTAGAATGCAATGAAATGCTTTATCTTAACTGAGCATCAGACCTTAGTTTCTGAGAGGGTGTGAAAGCACCATTTGCAACTACAGATACACACAAGAAGTAGTTCTGCCTCACCTGAGACTCAAACACAAAACTCAAACCCAGAAACTTAAAGAAGAGCTGGGACGTGTGGACAGGACCCAGTGTGCAGCTGACGGGGACGGGCAGAGCTGTGCATCCCTTGTGAATCACAGCTAGAACAGAGAGGAGACTGTGCATGGGGCATGCACAGAGATGCTTAGGGAGGCTTCGGTGGCACCCAGAGAGGATCAGTGAAGGTAACGCCTTATGGCTGACTGGGCCAGAACATGGAAGACCTTGAAGCCAGCTGGAGGAATTGAGAAGCAGTATAAATTGTGAGCCATTGCATCTTCTCAAGCAAGGAGGTGTGAGGAGTCCAGCAGCCCCCCAGGGACCTGCCCCTGGTGGGTGGGTCCGAGGGTAGTTGGAGGTGTGCCACCGTCCTGGAGTCTGGCAGTGGTCTGGGCTGACCCAGCATGGGTCTGGCTAGGGGCTGTAGTTGATTCCAGACACAGTGGAAGAGATGTGTCTAGAAGACATTTTGGAGGAAAATCACCAAGCCTTGTGACAGGTGCCCCCTGGATGAGAAAACATGTGAGAGTCTGGAAGACTGTTAGCAAGTGGCAAAAAGTCCTGTTTATTCTGACATGGTGACATTGTTGTTTCGAGCCTTGTATAAATAATGGTTCACAGAACATTTATCAAATTGAATTGCATTAAATTGATTTTGTTTATGCCACAAATATGTGTACAGTAAGTAGTAGGGTTCTTCTGGGGGTCAGGCAGATATGGCTGTGCGTGAGGTGATGTGCACCCTCCCTTGGGGAGCTTTCATGGTATGGGGGAGGGGAGACTAGGGCCACAGGCCTTTAGAAGAAAGCTGGTGAGGTACGGCTGGAACATATAGGGAGCTGTGGGGGCCTAGGGAGGGCTGCCTCCCCCAGATGCAGGCAGAGGGCTTGGGAAGCTGAGTGTAAGTGGTGAGTCGGGATTAGTAGTTCTGTGGAGCTGGAGCAGAGAGCAAGAGTGTCAGAGATGAAAGAGGTGCAGGAGGATGCACAGAGGCCAGGCAGCGAGAAATGCATGGCCTCCCCACTTGGAACCAGCACAGCTCAGTGGGACTTGACGTCGGGAACAGGAGCGAGGCATGAGGGGTGGATGCATCAGGGAAGGTCAGCACGTCAGGAGCTGCTTTGTGAGACCCGGGTAGGAGTGTGGCCTTTATCCTGAAGGCATGAGGAGTCATCTAGGGATTGAAAGTGGCCAGGTGTACAGGCTGTCATGGGGGTAGGTCGTGAGTTTAATTTTGGACACACAGAGTTGGGATGTGTCCAGGAAGAGGGTGGTCGGCCGCTCGCCCTTCCCTGCAAAGAGCAGTGCAGGCTCAGGGCCTATTTCCCCTCACTGTCTCCTTTCCATCCCTCACTGGAGACAGCCCCTCAGATTTGTCCCCCTTCGTGGGGTATCTCACCTGGACCCCATCTCTGTCTCAGCTGTTCTGGTCTTGCTGCTTCTTCTCTCCGAGGGACTTGGGTATTTGGAGCTCAGCTCGGGGTGTGGTCACATCTTGGAGAAGTGTCCCGGCCATCTGTGGGGCCCCTGGATAGTCACAGGTGTCCAGCCCCACCCCTGACCCCCATACCCACCTGTGTGATTTTGGCCCATGACCTCTTCTTCCCCAAAGAAACATGGCTCTGTAGTAACTGCCTCCCCTTTCTTTCAGCGGGGGCCAAAGCCTTTGTATGTGATCAATGTGGCGCCCAGTTTTCGAAGGAGGATGCCTTGGAGACGCACAGGCAGACCCACACCGGTGAGTTCACTTTGCTCCCCTTCTCCACGACAGTACAGGAGGTGGCATCTTGGGGGCCCCTCTTTCCTGCACACCCAATAAGCAGCCTCTCTTGGGGGAACCATGAGTAGGCTGGGCTTGCCAGGGGGCTCACCGGGCTGGAATGTATGAGTCTGACTTGGCCCCATAAAAACAGCCACTTTGAATTAGGCCAAGGTGTCTGTCTCTAGCAGGCCAGTGAGATCTGGCCTTCACAGAGACAGGGCTCTTGTCTTAGAAGCACATACTCGCATCTACCCTGTCCATGGTGGATGCTCAGGAAGCTTCTCGCACCCTGTCTGACTAACACTGAAGGCCTGTGTGGCCTCAGTGGGCTGGATTCCTCTGCCAGAGTTGAGTCACTGTCTGCAGGAAAGCAGCCTCCGCACATGGATGCACTTGAATGGTGTTACCTAACACGGTGGGGCTTTCTTTAATTTCAAAGCACTGATTTCCCAGCATCAGTGTCGTGTCATCCCTATCATCACCGTGGCCATCATCCTCATGGTATTGAAAGCGCATCATGTAGCAGGCACTAAGCTCACTTGGCCAATCTCGGAGTAACCCTGCAAGGTAGGAGCTACTCCCAAGTTGTTGATGAGGACACTGAGGTGCAGGGAAAGGGACTTAGTGAGGCAGGTAACAAAGACAGGAGCGGGAGGGCTTAGCCTGCCTGGTGTAATCCTGCTCTGCCTCTTGCTGTATTTGAGACCATGGGTAAGTTACTTCAACTCTCCTAGTTTAAGATTCCTCACCTGTTAGGAAAGTAGAGTCCTGCTAGCCTCTCCCTCATAGCACGGAGTTGTGTTGGGCAATTAAGATGCTGCATTTGCAGTGCTTTGTGGAATGTTTGGCTGTTGCAGCATTCAACAGAGAGTAATGGGTATATTTAATTTAAAAACTATTTATTGCAGTTCAAAGTGTGCCAGGCACTGTTGGTACCTCAAGATCTAGTCACAGGTGAGGCAAAATCATGGGAAGGAGGTTCTGGCAGGGAGTCAGTATAGGCACATCCATGGATGATATCAGAACTAGTCCTGGTAAGAAAAAATAAAGCCAGGGTAAAGGGTAGAGAGTGCTAGGGAGAAATGGAGTTTTAGGTAAACGGTCAGGAATGCCTCTCTGAGAAGGTGACCGTGCAGAGCCCCACATGAAGAAATGAGCTTCTTGAAGGCTTTGGAGAAGAAAGTCTGGGCAAGAGGAAGTGGTTGCAAAAGCCCTGAGATTGGGTTGAGTTTGACAAGTTCCAGGAATAGCATGAAGGGCAGTGGGCCCCGGGGTAGGTAGTCGGGTGCAGAGAGAGGTGGGAGATGACGTTACAGATAAGGTGAGTTTCTCAAGCCTGGTAAGGAATTTGGATTTTATTCTGAGTGTGGAAGGGGCATGATAAAGTATTTGTATGCCACACATGTGACAAGAGACCTGTAGCTAGACGATATAAGAAACTCATAACTGAGTAATACAAATACAAATAACCAAAATAAAAAAAAAAAAAACAGGCAAAGGTTCTGAATAGAAATTTCTCCAAAACAGCTAGTCCTGAACACATGAAAGGTTGCTTGAAATGATGAGCCATCAGGGAAGGGCACTAGGATGCACACACCCACTAGGATGTGGCTGTAGTAAAAAATACATAGTAGGAAGTATTTCCAAGGATATGCAAAAATGATACAATGTTGGCGGAATGTAAAAGGGCACAGCCATTTCAGAAATAGTCTGACAGCTCCTCAAAGAGTTGCAGGTCTTCCCTGACCATCTTCCTGGCAGCCCCACTCCTAGGGATATACTCACCCAGAGAGATGGAAATGTACATTCATCTAGTCAAAATGTACATTCATCTACCCGTTTTTGCAGCTGAAAATGTTAGTAGCATACTCACAGTAATCAAAAGATAGAGACAACCCAACAACATTCATCCACTGATGCACAGATAAAATGTGATTCCATACAATGGAATATTACTGGGTCATGAAAAGGGATGGATGGTGCATTCTACAACATAGAAGAATCTGAAAACATTGTACTCAGTGAAACAAGCCAGCCACAAGAGATTGTGTCGTGTGATCCCGTCTATATGAAACATTCACAATAGATAAATCTATAGATACAAACAGTAAATTAGCAGGTGCCAGTAGCTGAGGAAGTAGGGGAAAATGGGAAGTGACTGCTAATGGGTTCTGAAATTGATTGTGCCTGTGGTTTCACAAATTTGAATGTATTAAAAATGCTTGAACTCTACACTTCGAAATCATGAACTGTATATTGTGTGGTGATGATACTATATTGTACATGCAGTATATCTCAGTAAAGCTGCACACACAAACACTACACACATGTATGCACACCCAAACATGTATAGAGAAGGGGAACGAAGAGTCTGTTGGAGAGCTTTGCATGGGAGAATGACATGACTTGATGTGTTTAAAAGTGAGTGATTCCTGTGTTGAGCTGATCTGGAGGAGGGTGTCAAACAGCAACTGCTGTGGAACTTCAGCAAATCATGTTATTATCCGTGACAGTGCTGTGGGTTGACTGGGCTCAGCCAGGAGGTTCTCGCTTGAGGTCTCTGTGGTTGCAGTGTGGTAGTGGCTGGGTGGAATCATCTGCAGACTGGACTTGACTGGGTGTTCACAATGATTCCTTGCTCACATGTCTTGACTCACAATCTTTTTCTCCTGCTTCTGTACAGCAGAGTAGCCGAACTACTTTCAGGACAACTCAGAGCCCCAAGAGTTAGGAAACAGACACTGCCAGCTGAAATAGCTCTCTTTCTGCCTGACTTTATTGGTCAGAATAGTCATGGGTCAGCCCCAGATTCAAGGGCAGAAGACGAGACTCCCCTTATGAAGGGGTGTGACACACACAGACGGGGGAGGAGGAACTGGTGGCCTCCATCTTGGAGACAAGCTAGCACAGTGCACAGGAGACTGGGATGGAAGAAGGGAGGCCAGTCAACTGCTGTGATGACAGTTGTTGTCATCAGTATCTCCTCGTCCTTTTACCTTGAGAAATCTGCCTGTCTCAGTGGGAAGCACATCTCCTAACCCTAGGATCATGGCCTTTGCCCTGGAGCTACCCTGGCCTGTGGTAGTAGGAGGGGAGCGTTCTGGGTGAGCCTTAATGTGGTCAGTGTCTACCTGCTTGGTTTTAGAGAAGGTGACTCGGTTAGGTGATTTTGCCCCGGGTCCCAGAAATGACTATCCAGGGGAGGACCCAGAGTCCAGCCCATTTCTCATTGACCATCACCACAGGTGGCCAAGAATCCTACTGAGAATTCCAGATTGGGGCTGAGGAGAGAGCTGTGAGCCAGCTTGCCAAGCAGCTTAATTCAGGCATCCAGGTTAATTTGCAGCAACAGGGAGCAAGCTGCCCCCTGTGCCAGGGCTGAGAGGAGAGGTGAGTCCATGAGGGGTCAGCAGATGGGGGGTTGTTGGCAAGCCTACCCCACACACTTATTGAGCACCTTCTGTGTACCTGGCACCTGGGGGTTGCAATAGCAACTAACACAGTCACATACCCTGTCCTTTTTTTCCTCCCAGACAACTTTTTTGAGGTATAATTCATACATTGTTCCATTCACCTGTTTAATGTGCACAATCTAGTGGTTTCTGGTATGTTACACTTAATTTTTTTAATTGTGGTAAAACATATATGACATAAAATTTGTCATTTTACCATTTTTTATGTATACGACCCAGGGGCATTAATGACATTCCAACCTGTTTTTAGAGTCTGGGTTTTGAGGCAGCTTTGAAAGTCGAAGATGTCTTAGCTGCCTTTCTGGAGATGTTAAGTCGCTGACAGCTTGAAAGTAGTTGACACTTTCCAGAAAAGCATCGCTTCAAATGTGATTGGAGAGAGCTGGAGTTTGAAGGGGAACTAGAATGGGGTTCTAACTATGCTCTCGTAGGTGAATAACCTTGGCATGCTGCTCATCTTTTCTGCCCAGGTCTCCCCACCTGAAACAGGAATACACCACTCATCCTCCTTGTAACATGGAATTGGTCATTTTATCATTTTTATGTATATGATCCAGCGGCATTAACAGCATTCCGAGTTAGCCCACACGGCCTGACTTTTGCTTTGTCTACAGGTTGAGTAAATGGAGCTCTAGATAAGGGAGAGGAGTAGAAAAAGTGGATCCAAATTAAAATGGCAGGCTAGGTGGATGCTTTGAGGAAGGCTCCTTCCCCACCTGGGAGGAGCTGGGGGGGGGGGCAAGCTCCCCAGCTGTGCAGAGCACTCGCCAGTCACCATGCTCAGCAAGGACAGATGCAGCGACAGCCTCACCCTCCAAGTAGGCTTGGCATGGAGGGGGCTCTTCCTAGCACGTAAGGGAGCTTGCTTATCACTTACAGCGCTATTTCCTGCAGAGCCCAGATAGATCCTCAGACTCCTCTAATAACGAATGAAAAAGCACATCTTGAAATCTGTTTGCCATCTCTGCTCTAAGACAGGGGGCTAAGGAGGAAGGGAGAGGCCTAATTATAAGACATGCTGAAAGTTCACACTAAATGTATTGGACTGAGAAAAGCCAAGTGGGGTGCCAGGTATCTGGAGAGTTCACAGGGGAAAAGGGAGGGAAAGGCATGGAGACCTGGGGAGGGTGTCAGCATGGTGATGCCCCTATGAAAGTTCTCAGCCCCTAGTTTATAAAGCTAAATGGGTTTTTCATACCCATTTAACAGATGAAAGAATAGAGGCCTAGAAGCCATGTACTAGGAGCAGAGAGCTGGAACTTGACCTAGTTCCATCTGGAATGCTCTTTCCACTGCCCCAGCTGCCTGCACATGGACCTCCTGGTATCCTCGGGATGTGGCTGGCCCACTTAGGGGAGCCTGTTCAGAGATCCTTTAGCTCATGGCCCTGTCATGGGCATTGCTCTGTTGGGTTCCTGTGACCTGCTTCAGTAAGATCTCTCCACACCCTGATGTCCACGTCTCCCTCCTGGGATAAGCGACAACTGTGTTGGGACAGTCTGA